CCTGCTCTGCCCCCTCCCCAAGTCCCCCACCCTCAAACCCAGGCTGCACCGCCCCTGGGCCCTCGGGCCCTCACTCCCAGGGCACCAAGCCCGAGGACAGGGCAGCTCCCGGTGTCACTCAGCATGTGTGTGGGCCTGGGCGTCGGTCTGTGTGTCTGAGTGCCGTATTCAGGGGGGTGCGCATGTGTGTCTACATGTCTGTCTCTATGTATCCATGAATGGAAATGTGTGCGAGCGTGCCTGTATGCATGCACTGTGTGCCAGGGTGTTACGTGTACAAGTGACTCTGTCTGAGACTGTCCGAATGTGTGTCTCTGCTTTTCTATACGTGTGTGCACAGGGGTGTGTTTTTCTGTGTGCATCCCCGAATACTGGTGAGTGGGAGTGTTCATGCAAGCATGTAGCTCACATGTGCATGTGTGTATCTGTGCATCTATACACAAATATGTCTGCATCAGCGTGTGCATGTGTCCGTTTCTGCGTGTGTGTGTATGTGGGGCCAGGGAGACTGTGTGAATGTATGCACAGACGTAGCTGTGTGCACACGTATGCATGTGTGCCCTCTGGGGGTGTGTGGGGCCAGGACAGGGACAGACGCACATGGGGAAGGACCCTGAGGCAGCCCAGTCCAGCCCAGCTCAAGGCCTCTCCGTGTGCCCAGTCCCGTGCCTGCTGGGGACGCAGGGCGGACGGGGGTCCCACTCTCGGAGGACAGTCGCGCCCGCCACACCACGAGGTGCAGGGTGGGAAGGCCCAGCCGGGCTCAGCCTGCAGGTCTGGGGGTCCCGCTCCTTGGCATCCCCATGTCCCCTGGGGACACCTGGTGGATGACCGAGGCTGTCCAACAAAAGCGCTCGGCACGGTGACTGATGGGAGCCTGAGCAGCCATGGCCAGTCACCTCTGGTCACTGTTGCCGTGATTGTGCCAAGACCCCTGCACCCTCAGCTTGGCAACCTGGAAGCTCCCCCCTGGAGTCTTCCCTCCTAGGACCCAAGAGATGTTTTTGAGGCTCGGGGCCTCCCTGAGGGCCTAACCCAGGAGCTGCCACCTGCCGATAAGGACAGGAAACGAGACGACCGCAAGTGGCCTCTGCGATAACCCTGGCAGCGCCTGCACCTCCCCATGGCCTGCCCTTATCAGCTGTGGCAAACGTCTCCCTCCAGGCAGGCCCCGCTGACCTCCCTGACTCCTCTCCAGTGTTTGCAAATGAAGACGCCACAGGCAGGTGGGGCAGGGGGAGGAAGGAACCCTGCTGGGTCTCACTGACCGGCCTGGGACCCCAACCTTTCCCTGGGCAGGGCCTGGGGCCTGGACCCCGGATCTCAACTGGAGTCAACTGGGAAAAGCCAGGGGGGCCCCTTGGGAACCCGGGGATGGAGCAGGAAAGACAGCTCCATGGACACCCCCAACAGGTGACCCAGGGGACAGGCGGCCCCAGGTCCACTAACCCCTGGCAGGCGACCCCGGAGACGGGCAGCCCCAGGTCTGCCGACACCCTGGCAGGTGACCCGGTCTCTCTTCACAGCCCAGGGCTGACCACATGGGGTCCTCCGTGGACTCAGGTCAGACCAGCAGAAGCAGAACTGGCCCAGGTTTCCTGGCTGTGTGGCCTCGGGCAAGTCGCTGCACCGCTCTGTGCCTCTAGTCCTCCTCTGTGGCCTCGGGAGGCCCTGGAGGGCTTGGCAGTGAGGGCGGCTCCTGCAGTCACACCAGGCCGTCCACACCCTCCCACCTGTCACTAGTGGGCCGCTCCTCTCCTTGTGTCCACGGGGACACTGCAGGGCCTCTGGTCCTCCACCCTCAGCCCAGCCAGAGACAGACCCATAACACCCGCTGGCATGTCCAGGCTCGTCCTCTGCCAGGAAGCTCTGATGTCTCCTCACCACCGGCTGAGTCATGCTCAGACTGCCCACGGCTGGCCTCAGTTTCCCAGCTGTGTGGCAGCACTACAGGGGACACAGCAGGGGACCAGGCAGATGGCCCCTACCTTCCTGGAGTCGGTGTCCCAAAGGGTTGACCTAGGGCGGAGGAGGCTGCAGGAGATTAAAGGGCAAAAGTGGGTGGGAACAGCATGTGCAAAGGCCCTGAGGTGGGCCGTGCCCCACACACCCGGGGACAATGGGGAGGCTGGTATGACTGCTGCCGAGGGAGCGAGGGGCTAGGGGAGAGGCTGGGGCCCCCAAAGCCACAGTGGCAGCTTTGGCTTTTCCTTCAAGGACGATGGGACCTGCTGGGGTGCTGAGTGGGGAGCCACAGCCTCAGTGGAGCACGAGCTGAAGCAGAAAGTCAGCGGCAAGTGGTTCCTGGAAGGTCCTGGCAAGAGGAGGGAGCCGAGGTGGCCCGGCCCGGCCCGCGGTTCCCTGTGTGCCCAGGCCCCACACCTGCAGGGGACGCAGGGAGGACAGGGGTCCCACTCTCGGAGGAGAATCAGTACCCTACACCTGCAGGCCAAGCGCAGCTGGGTCTTCCCGCCCCACATCTCGCGGTGTGGCGGGCGCGACTGTCCTCCGAGGGCGGGACCCCCGTCCTCTCTGCATCCCCAGCAGGCGCAGGGTCTGGGCACACGAGGGGCCACGGGCTGGGCCAGGTAGGCTCAGGGTTCCCTCCTCACAGGCATCCGTCCAGTGGTCCCCGTCCTAGCCCCCCCCGAAGGAAGCCTGGGGAAGGGAGGAGTCGCAGGCCAGGTCGCAGGGGTAGGGCGAGCCAGGGGCGCGGGCACACGGGGCCGACTGCACCTGCTCACCGGCTGGGCTCTGCTCTGGGGGGTGTGGGGAGGACACACCCGTGCCTGGAGAACGGCTGACCCGAAGGAGGCTGAGCCCACAGCCTCCGAGCCTTCACCCAGGCCGGCCAGGAGCACCCGCTCCCATCAGCACCAGCCCTTGGCCCTGAGCGGTCTGGCTGCTCCCGGGGCCTCCTCCCCCAGGGCTGTCCCCTACTCCTCTCCCCAGGTCCAGGGGCTGCCTCCAGGCTCCCACTGCTCCCTGGGCCTGCCTGGCTCCAGCCCCAACCACACCGTGCTGGGCCTACAGGGTGACATGTCTGTGCACTCCCCGGGTGGTGGCCCCGCCAGGCGCCGTCCCAGGGCCTCCGTCTCCCTAGCCCCGCCTCTCGCCATGCCCCCTCATGTCCCCTTCTCCAGCCCCTGGCATCCTCATCCCGCAGACCCCACCTCAGGGCCTTTGCACTTGCCACTGCTCTGCCCGGGAGCCAGTCATTCCTAGCCACCTCGGGACACTTCCACCCGAGCTGAGCGGCACCCGTTGTCCCACTGCACCTCTGCCGGTCTCCCCCCCACGTCGCACCCTAAAGCACAGGGCTGTGTGTGTTCCCACCATCTCTGCTCTTCACGCAGCTGGGCACATTTCTTGGAGTGAATACATGAATGAGTGAGCAACTAAAGGGAGGGATGGATTAATATCCTCTCTAGCCTGGGCACTGCCTCTGTGAAGCCCCTGTGATTTCCCCAGCTCTGAGTGCTAGGAGGTGCGCCAGCCCCAGACCAAGGCTTCCCTTCCCAGCTGAGACCTGCCTGCCCCCACCGGCACCCCGGGGCAGCCCTAACTCTGGGTCTTCTGGGGGCAGCCCCTCTATCAGGAACGGCCCCGCTGCACGGGGTTCTGGCGGAGACCCCAGCGCCAAGGGCCTTGCTGAGATATACCCCAAGTGTGGTTGGGTCTCCCAGGGCTTCCTGGCCTCCGTCAGTGGGGGGCACGGGCCGTGTCAGTCCCGCCACCCTGATGCTCAGCAGCCACAGAGGCCAGAGCAGGGTAGATGCCCAGAGGCCAGCCATCAGTGACCTCTCACAGTCACCACGGAAGGCCCAAGGCCCCGTCTCAAGAGAAAAACTCCAACCCAACTTTTTTTTTTTAAAGAAAACAAGTTTTATTTTTATAATCAGAACATTCTAATAAAAATATTCTTACAATCTTAGCTACCTTTATCTCTGGGCCTGACTGTGCCAGGCGTGCCGCCGGCACTGACGCCGGCACCCTGAGCCCCTCCCTGAGGTAGGTCTGCAGGAACAGCCGCCGCCCGCCGGGCCCCCACCCATGCCCCTGCTTCAGGCCCCATGACGGCCCACCGCGGGTCGGAACACCGACTCCCCCTCGCCAGGCGCAGGGATGGGTCTTGGCTGGCACACAGCAGGCGGCACTAGACGGGGAGGGAGAAGGCAGCGCGCCCGTCCCGTGGGACGAGGGCCACCGTGGGCTAGACCCTGAGCAGCCGGGTGGCCCTCCCGCCCCTCCTGGTGAGGGGGGAGACGGCATCACAGTGTGACGGTGACAGCCCAGGCAGGCGTTAGCGGGTACCTGGGTGAGCCCGCGAGCCGCGGACGCTGCATTACACAGAAACACTGCCACGCCTAGGCGGGCGAAACCAACGAAAGCAAGTCTCCCAAAGTCAGGTGGCGGCAGTCTCCACGGAAAAAACAGACCAAAACCCTGAAATCCTCTTAGTAGCAAAACAATGACAAGAAGAAAAAAGCTGCAGTGCTCTGGCCGGAAGGGACCTCGGCCAGTGGCCTCCCGCAGGAGGACCCACCAGGCGGGGACAAGCAGGGCGAGGCTCCACTGGGCCTGCATCCTTGTGCCCCTGCCCGGCTGACGGACTGCACGGCTGGGTCCCCAAAAGCAGTCCCCAGAGGAGCCTGGAAGCCAGGGCGGCGGGGGCTGCAGAGGGGACGCAGCAGAAGGGATGTGCCTGGGTCAATGGAGTGCAGAGTGGAGGAGGCAGGGAGGCTGCACAGCGCCAGGAGCTGGCGGCCTCTGCACAGCCGTGGGTCCTTCATCTGAGTCCTCCTCGAGCCATCTGGAGACACTGCCCACACAGGCACGGACGCGTCCAGGCTCAGCAGGGTGGGGTGGCCCGGCAGGACCGGGTGCTGCGCGGTGCGTCTCCGGTCCTGGCACAGCCCCTCACTGCATCCTGTCGGGCTGCAGCTGTGGCGCCTGGTACTGCACGAAGGCGGTGCCAGCTGGGGCCGAGAGGGCCGGAGGCACGGCAGCCGGGTAGCCGTAGCTCACGAAGCCGGTGGCTGCGGCAGGTGAGGCGGCGTAGGGGTACTGGTCATAGGCAGCCGGCGTGAACTGGGCATAGGCCGGGCTGGCTGGCGCATACTCGATGTAGGGCGAGGACAGCGGTGGGACAGGTGCAGCCGGGATGACCACCCCAGGCTGCATGATGGCTTGCGGGTACACGTAGTGTGGAGTCAGCCTGTGGACCAAACAAAGGGGTCAGGGCAGGCGACAGGGGGACATGGTGGAGACTGGGTCGCAAGGGGGCGCCCCTCCTGAGCCCTGCCCTTCCACAGCTGTAAGACGGATGCAGTGGCCGCCAGCTGTGCTCTGCCTCAGGGCCTCTGTTCTGCACTGGCTGTTCCCACAAGCCGCCAGGCTCCGTCTTCCCTCGCGTCCCCTTCCCAGGCTGCAGCCCCATCCCAACTCCACTCCCACCTCCCATCCGCCCCAGGACCCACTGAACAGCTGGGGCCCAGTGCACAAATAAAAGCATGCCTCTGTTTAAAAAACGATTACGACCTCAACTCTACAATAAATCAAAAATTAACCGGGCATGGTAGTGCGCGCCTGTAGTTCCAGCTACTCGGAAGACTGAGGCGGAAGGATCACCAGAGCCCAGCAGGTCGAGGCTGCAGTAGCTGAGAGCAGCCACTGCACTCCAGTCTGGGCGACAGAGAGAGACTCCAACTCAACAAATAAAAATAAAAATAAAAATAAAAGACGATTATGGATCTCATGACAGCAGCAGCAGAGCTTCAGGCCAAGCACAGAGCCTGTGCGAACAAATGCCCAGGGCACATGCCCGTGAGGTTGGCCCCGGCCCCGCTCTCCTCCAACATCTGCCACCCACCAGTGACACAGGCACCACTGACTCACGACCACATCTCCCCACTAACGCCTCCAGCGTGGGTCTTTCCCTCCCTGCCAGCACAGACCCGGCCCGCAACAGGGTACAGCAAGTGTGTTGAGGGAGTGAATGATGGAACGAAGAGGCTGTGACGACCTGGCACCACCTGCCAGCACCCATGCTGCATGGAGGATGCCTCCTGGCACACAGGGCTGGTCCGATCCACACATGGGGTTGGGCTCCCATGATCATGCACAGGGGCCAGACGACGCACTGCTATGGAAACATGTCATACAGACATGCCATGCCATGGGCAGGCCATAGGCACGCAGCACACCCAGCACTCCAGCATACAGAAACTGAGACTGAGGGAGGCTGCTGGCCTCCAGTATAAGGGAGCTGAGGCTGGGAGGCCCCAGCCTACAGTGTAGGGGAACTAAGGCTGAGGGAAGCCACTGGCCTGGCCTATGCCCGCACTGCTGACCAGCCGCTGGGGGACCCGGGGCAAGTGGTGGAGCCTCTCCAAGCCTGCAGCCCGTCTGCGATAGGACCAGAGGCCTCATGGCATCTAAGACACTGAGGAGTGTCGGCACGGGGCGACCACGTTGGGCCGGGACTGCTCCCGGCATCGGCAGCACATGTCCTCTCAGCCCTGACTGAGTCATACAGACAGGCCCGAGCCTCAGCTTCCCTCCACAGTGAATGGAGGCCCAGGGTCCCGCCCGCCCATTCTAGAGCCCAAAAGAGAGTGGACATCCCTCCTGCGCCCACACACTGTGGGGACAGGAGCTGGCAGCTTTCTGGAGAGCATGGTGGCCACCCATGGGCCACCCTCCTCTGTGCAGCCGGCCACACGGTGGGGAGGAGCCCTTGCTCCCAGCGTCCCCGTGGTGATACAACAGAACCCCAAGTCCTTCCCGCCCATGGCCAAAATGTGAGGCCCACTCAGCCCCATGCCCGTCCCACCATGCCACAGGGCACGAGGCTGCACATGTGAAACCTGACACGCTGACGGTGGTACTTTCTTTTTTGGGTCAGAGCCTCACTTTGTTGCCCAGAACATAGCCCACTACAGCCTTCAACTCCTGGGCTCAAGTGATCCTCCTGCCTCAGCCTCCCACGTAGCTGGGACTACAGGTGCGTGTCACCATACCTAGCTAATTTTCAATTTTTTTTTTTTGTAGAGACAAGGTTTGCTATGCTGTCCAGGCTGGTTTTGAACTTCTGGTCTCAAGTAATCCTCCTGCCTCGGCCTCTCAAAGTGCTGCGACTCCAGGCGTCACCCATGTGCCCACCTGCTATGTGTATTGACCACTATAAGGATACACACGTAAGGAACAGATCCACACCTCAGGACGCTGGATGGTCAGGGACCATCACAGTGAGGGCCCAGGGCACGGCGGGGGGTGGAGGCGGGCACAGCTGGGGCGGAGCTCGGGCACGCGGCCTGCTGCGCCCTCGGCTCTGATGGCACACACCCAGGGCTCACGGGACCTGCGCCTGAGGGGCCCCACACCCCTGCAGGAAG